GATGCCACTAGGCTACTGGCTGACGACCCGTGGTTCAGGAGATTGGGGTCAGTGGCGGCGAGCACGGCTATGACAAATGTTGGATGCCGCTTGGTTCCGGCGCAGATTTCGGACTGTTTTCAGAGGCTGCTGCGACCTTCGATATTTCAGCTCCAGTAGCAAAGTTGAACGTGCCAGCACGCACGACGCCTCTTCATGGTGTCCTCTACTGATGACAAAATAATCCGACACCTAACCCTCGCGGGAAGGTTGTTTTCTTTCTTTGTATAGGATTGAAGTATGGGGAAAAGAGCCAGCGTCACTACCCCTTTTCTGCACCCCCTTAACCGCACGCTCGCACGTAGGTGCATCACCTCATGCACCCGCTTCCACGAACCTTGAATGCTGATTGAAACAAAACAGGACCAAACTTTGACATTTCCATTCGCTCTTCCGGCCGTCTGCCTGCATGCTCAAACGCCAAACAGCGAGCTGGAGTACCGACGACGGGCAAAGCATCGCCGTGCGCATCCACGGCTCCTCGCCAGAGATGGACGTCGTCCTTGAAAATGGTGAGCAAGGCAACCTGACCCTTGCTCCGACCGCCCGGTTTGTTTCGACGATAGTATGCGCAAACGATAGGGAGGTACAACACTCCTGAAGTAAACCTTGCGCTGTACTGCTGTGCGTGTTTGACTCAGCACCATTGGTCAAGGAGCGGCATCATGCTGTGCCTGCTACGCCCGGTAGGTTGCTCGGACCTTTCGTGATCACAAACCTTCGCATCATTTCCGCCTGAAGAAACGCCCGCGGCGCGGAGTTTGACGCTGGCGGTACCCTATCCGCCCCAAGAGAAAGCGGAAGTTTCCATGGGAAACCTCGAATGTTCCGGTTATATTTGGGAGGCGTTCATTGGCGGACCCGATCGATCGCCTACTCCCACTGCTGCTACAGTACATAAATGTCGAATATCGAGAAGGGGGTGTGCCGTTCATAAGTGCTGTGGCATTCACAGATGTCACAGAGGCCGCGACGACCGAACCTTCGCACAATGATACTGCTGTCGGTGTTCTTTCCCCTCTCGTTCTAACGGGTCATAGCCTAGAAACAACAGGATCATGGACCATCCAATAAAAGTGGGAGCGATGACTTGGTTTGTTCCTTGGTTTCTTTCCCTCCGCGCGTGCGGTTAACTGCCGTCCGCTTGTCGCCAGGCTGCGGACGAATTCGACGGGGATGCGGTCATGGCTTCGGCTCAGGAACGGATGGACAAATCGGTGGAGAGCGTGCGGCTTAACCTCGAGACCCTCCGAACCGGGCGGGCAAAGTGAGTGATGCGCCGCGGCAATCAATACCTCAGCCAACACAGCAGCTGCGGTTCAGGAGCGAGCGACCCATAGAGACATCTTCGTGTTGTCCAAGGTGGAAGAAACGGGACGATTGATCGCGTTGCGGGATGATTTTGTGCAATGAACGTTTTGGACGAGAAAAGTATTCCCTTCGTGATGGTGGCGATGAAAACGATTAACATGTGGAGCCTAACAGCATAACCATTCGCCTGGCCGGTTGCCAAGCCTGTAGCAAGAGTGAGACGAATTGTCATCCGTCGGAGCCGCACTTCTCCCGATGTCATTGTAGTCGTATCCATCAATTTTTATATTGTAGTCCTATCCATCCATCAATTTTATGTGACAAGGTCCAAGGATCCGCGGGGCGCTTAACGCTATTTTGTGTCTATATACAGGTATCAGGAGCAGATACCATCATAGAGGGACCGCTCATTGATGCGGGACTCAGAGCTTGCGTGGAACAATTTGGCAGCTATAAGCACTAACGTCGACATCATCGACCCTCCCCACCACTAGAAGAATTGCTCGCTGCAAGGCCATCTGCCATTGCCCCGTGATGCGAACAACGGGCCCCATCTCTTGCACAGACGACAAACCGCGTATTGTGCGGAAAACATCGCCTCCTCCTCTTCTTCGACCTCAACCTGTGCATTCTGAGCCCTGGCAAACTTCGAACCTCCGACGTTGTTTGTTTTCGTGCGTGTCCCCTTCTTGTTGCTGATTGGTCGATCCAACTCGCTGCTGGCGGGCTTATCTTAATCGTAGTAGTGCATGCTCTCATTTTCTGCGGTGGTTCTACCCGTGTGGCTCTTGGCCGGGTTTACTGTTCGCCCTCCTTCGCCCGCCCGTGGGTTGATTCGGCACCCTTGGTTTCACTTCCTCTCTTGGCACCACCTGCTTTCGACAGTAGTCTTGGAATGCTTGGTTTGAATTGCTTTCGAAAATGGGCCTTGGTCTTTGCGCCGTTGTTTTCAATTGCTATCTCATGACGCCCTTGGCATTGCTTGATTTCTTGGCGCCCTTGGTTTCACCTTGCTCTCTTGGTGCCTGCCTCAGCCCCAAGATCCTGGACCGCGTGGTCGTGGAGTGTTACGGGGCGGAGACGCCGCTTAACCAGGTGGCCTCCGTGAAGACCACCAGGTAAATTATTTTTCTAATTTGGTAAATTGCTTGTTTTGTGAGAATTACTTGCTGCCTTGTGGGTAACGTTGTCTAGGAAGTATCTAGCAGCCTCGTAACAGAAAAAAGAAGCCAGGCGTGCGCTGACCCAGCATCCACAATGATCGACGCAAGACGTCACGGCGGGACAAAGTCAGAAGGAGAGAGAGTGCTCTACCGCCGGTTCTCCTCGTTCGCCTGGAACGTGCTAATTGAGGTCTCGCTATTCCTTGGTTTGGGGTCACCATGTACATTTTGTTGTCCGCTACTCGTCGGCCATATCGAGAAGCGGTTATAGGCTCTGAGGGACCGCACTGACTAAGAGACACGTATCCTCCAGTGGCTGTTTTTTTACAGTTTATCACCATCCCCTCTCCTTCTCCGTCCCCCTTTCTCTATCCCGCCTGGGTGCCGTTTTTGGTTGGTTGTTTGTTGTGTGCTTCCCTTAGCGCCACCGCGCTCTTGGTGGAGTCGTACGATCCGACTATCCTGGCCGACATCGCCGCCGCCATCCAAGAGGCGGACTTGGGCCTAACTCCGAACAACGACGGCACGTAAGGGGAAAGACGCATGGTGGCAAGTATGTTTTTTTTTTTGTTCGCTTGGACGCCGACTGTGTGCCCTACAAGACTGCAGCCGGTGCGTTGTGTTGGTTCTTGGTTGCTGAAATGTTGTGATGATTTTTTTATTCGCTCCGGACGACGAGCGCACGCCAACACGACTCTTCAATGACCCCTTTGCGTTGCTTTTGGTTCTCTTCGCCCCGTCGACCAGGGTCTAGTGGTCTCTTAGCAATGTTCGGGGGACTCCTTTTCTCTGCACGTCATAGTCCTCGCGGCCTCAACTTCGCCCCCCCGAAAGGAAGAGGCTGTGCCCCTCCATTTCGCTGATTGAATTTCCCATCGATTTTTATTTTTTCGAGGTCTTTCTCCCGCCCCCCACACCGTCCCGGTATTGTAGGGATGCAAGGTCTTTGAACTACCGACTACGGCATAGGTTTATATGACTACACCCCACCCCTTGGCCGTGTGTGCCCCCCCGTGGTGCCGAAACAGCGTGATCCGGTTGAACATGCCGCCCGTGACGGAGGACCGCAGAAAGGAACTCGCTAAGGAGGCCAAGGGCCTTGGAGAAGAGGGGAAGGTAGGACTTCAGCAGTTACTGGTACTCTTGAGCCTCTGTCCCGCTTCATGCCATGCAAGAGTCTTAGGGGAGGGGGAAGGTAGGTCAGCATGTAAGTTCCCCGCAATGATCTATGCTGGTGCTCTTGAATCTCTGACCCTCTTCTTCATGGCCATGGGCTTGAATTTCGAGGGTTTTGTTGCCCGCATCACGTAGCACGTGTTCGCTTTATCTGAGTGGACGAGGCTCATGCGTACGCTATTTTGACTATAATTGCACCCCCAGGGATTGCGATTGCTATTGGAGCTTCCAACGTGGGAGGGTGAATGCTGCAGGTAGTCAGACCGAGTTGGAAAACGAGTTTGATTCCGCGTGGTTTCTGAGGTGTTCACGAGCGCGCTTCTTCGTTTGTTTTTTCGTTCACAGGTTGCGATTCGCAACATCAGGCGGGAGGCTGTGGACACGGTGAAGAAGGCCGAAAAGGCCAAGAACTTGGGCAAGGACCAGGTAACTTAACTACTGGTACCATTCTAGTGGGAATTTGGGTTTGACCTACGGCAGTAGGTTTAGGGTTTCTAGTGGTGTTTCGTGAATGGAGGGTCGTTTTTTATGTTGCGTTTTTCTTCGTCGTCCGGCGGCCTGGATGCATCCCCAAGACTAAGGCAAGCGTATACGTTAAAAAACACCCCCCTTTCCTCGCTCGCCTTCGATCCCTTGGTTGTTCTTCTGGCTTCCGGCGGGATGAAAAACGAGCGCAGTCTAAGGATGCACAAGACGCGATCCAAAAGCTCACCGATAAGACTACGAAGACCATAGACGAGAAGGTTGCCGCCAAGGAGAAGGACATCCTCAAAGTGTAAACGTACCAGGTCTACGTTATGTACGAGTTCTACGTAAGCAAGTGTAGAGACCGTCTGTCCCTAGATAGTCTACTTAGAGAAGTTTAAGTACTTCATATTAGAGCGTACCGCCGCCCCATGGGCGATTTGTTGTGGTCGTCTTCATCATCTACAATTTGCCGCAGCTGGGCTCGAACCCACCCATTTCGGGCGGATGCCCACGGCAAAACATACAAGTGGCTGAGGTGGTCGGTGCGGTGTGGGCGAAAATGTCTCGGTACGTTTGGGAATGGCAAGAAAATTTACCTTCTAAAACAGTGTCCCCGTGGGCGGACGACCACTCTTGAGTTCTACGAGGAGGATGCAAGAAGGAACATCCAACCAAGCGAGGGACGGTTTCCCTCCCTACTGCTGCTGTAAGGATGCGGCGCAATATCGAAAGTGAAGGCTTTTGCCCTGCGACGGGTACATTCATTTGCGTAGTATTCGCGGGAGGTTGACAGAAGTTGCGCGATGAAGATGCACCAAGCGGTTCGAGTAAGTGTAGAGAGAGGAAAACACACTCACCTTGCTGTTCACAACGGTATTAATTGATTAATTGGTATTTGTTCTTCTTCTAACGGGTATTATTGCAATTAATTCATTACTTCCAGCAACGAATCTCTCGTGTGCCAAGCAGTGTAAATGGTAGACCCGGAGCTAGCTGTAGATCTGTACTATATAATACTTGTAGGTTCGATTCGAAACCCCGTTTTGCTGACAAATGACTCACCATTCAAGCTTGTGGGCCGGAATTTGTTCGTTGTTCATATTATTCACAGGCAGACTCGGCAGACCTGTCCACGCGTCCACTATACCTTTGTGAGTTGTACGTATGCAAATACATGCTTGAAGGCAACAAAGGGCGGACCCGTTAGGAAACACGGTTTGGAAGCATATATATGTATGCATACACCTGTCAGGTACTATCCTTAGCGTGAAGGCAGAAGCAAGTGCTGGAAAGAAAGAAGATATTATTGGTGATGCAGTGCTACGTGTAGACACAGCAGGACCGGCCCGGAGATAAGAAACGTCAAAATGGGGTCGAGGCTCAGGCTGACTACCGAAAGTTGGCCCGACGGATTTTTTTGGGACTGGCATACCCCCACCCCCCCGGATTTGCCACGGATTCGACCAAGAGACAGACCTCTCACCACATCATCACAGAGTTCTCCCTCCATGATGGTCGGATCGTCACCAGAAGAACTTGAAGGCTGTACGCACCACACCTGCAGGCGTCTTTGAAGCTAGTGGTGACTGCTGTGGAGTCTGTGTGTGCTGAGAAATATCAACCCATGTGAGCAATAGTAGAATCCGTATGGAGAATCCGTCGAGGATTCTATACGATAGTTTGGCTTCGTCGAGGATTGTTGCGATAGTTTGGCTTCGATAGTTTGGCTTCGATAGCCAGTATCGTATAGAATCCTCGATGGATTCTCCATACGGATTCTACTATTGCTCACATGGATTGATACTTCTCAGCACACACAGACCCCGCAGCAGTCACCACTAGCTTCAAAGACGCCAACAGGTGTGGTGCGTACAGCCTTCAAGTTCTGGTGACGATCCGACCGTCATGGAGGGAGAACTCTGTGATGATGTGGTGAGAGGTCTGTCTCTTGGTCGAATCCGTCGCAAATCCGGCGATGATGCGACCCAGTTGTTTCTCCGCCTTTTCGTTGCGGAGATCGCAAAAACTATTGCCATGTGATGGGTACGGACACGGCGAAGTCTGACAATTATGATGGATTGGACAGCAGGGCTAGCAAAAAGAGCTCGATTCATCTTTGCTTCTCTGCCCTCCATCTCTCACTTGGTGCTGTGTGCGTTTTTTCCCGCAAGAGGTCAAGCACACAGCTCTGTCGACCCCAAACCCCGCGTTGCTGCTGTGTGTGCGGCGGCGGAGGAAACGAAACCTGGCGTCTGGAACCGAGAAATAGGAACGGCAAGACGCAGAGAAAGAAGGCCCGTGACAACGGCAGCACGAGAGGCAGCACACCCTGCTGTCATAACGTTGTCAAAAGCGGGTTGATCCTTGATTGGAGAGATCGAAGGAACACACAGGACGAGAGGTAGCAGCCACCTCAGTAGCACGTCTGCAGGCAAACGGAGGAACGGGTGCGGGTTTGGGCAGGCCCGAAGCGCCGAGGCAGAGAGCGCCGTTCCGCCGCCAAAAAATGGTGATGGTTGGGAGACGTCTCTCGTCGATTTTCCTGTGCTGCTGCTGTGCGTTGAGTCTGTGGAGCCATGGAGTGTTCGGAATCTCCTACTACGTTAGCAGCTGCAAAGACTTCCTGAGTCTGCCCACGCCAATGCAAGACGACACGCACGTGATCGTTCTCGAGAACATCGCCTGCAAGCTGGTGAGTGTATGACGCGCGTGTATGGGTGTTGTCGTACCAGTCAATACTGCAGTAGTTCGCTGTTATTAGGCCTTTATTTTTTGTACAAGAAGGGTGTCTGGCTGCTCTATTGTTCTTGGTGTTCTATTCACAAGATCTACCCTTCGACATACACATAATTTGCATGCGCTTGGGAGGCGCCGCCGCTCCTATCCATGCGGGAGAGCTGTGTGCGTGTGTTCGTATGCAACACCTACATATGTCTTTCCCTTTTCTACAGCAACAAAAACATGGTCATCGGTGTCCACACCCGACGCGAACTTCTCTCCGCGGTCCCAAACAGCGAGCGAGCGTCCTCTCAGTTTTCGATATATATATATTTTTTTTTTTTTTCCGCTTTTCGAAGAAAGCAAGCACACATGTCCGCTCCGTGTTGTTTGCCGGCGAGTCTATCTGAGAAGGTCTACGTGTTTCTATTCTGTGTACTTGTACAGAGTAGTACAACCATCTTTTACCGTTTTATGCTTTACCGTATATTGTTTCTGTCTCTCTCTCTCTCTTGTAGCGACTGCTGCTGTACACGCTCGAACGGGTAGTCTTTTTGTTTTCTCGAAAAGGCAACAAACAGCAGTACTGCACCTTGCAGAGATGCATGCAGCTTGTAGCAGTGTGTTCGGCTGCTCTTGCCAACAAGCCGCCAAACAATGCTACGTAGGATAGATATCATCAGGCCTGGGACCGCTCACGCTTGCCACCTTGGCAGCAGTGCCTTGATACAAGCGCATGCACCTACAAAGTAACCTTTTCCAGGCATGGCAATGTCGTTGTGTAAATGATCGTACTGCTGTGGTTAGACGACGGCTGTATATATATTTTTTGTTATATAATCCAACGTACTGTGCCTGTTGTATATTGTATGTACTTACAGCTGTTTTCACGCGAGCGTGGAGGGTTTTTATGCATGTGTGATGTGCATATGGCACGAGGCACGCCTGCCTTTTTACCCGTTTTTTTTGTCGTCAGCGTTGGTATACTAAATACTGCCCCGTTATCCTACCTGGAATCGACAACCGCCTACAGCAGCAGTACCCTCCCAGGTTATACAACCGTCAGGATACCCTCCCACTCTGCCAGTCTCGGATGGATGTACACATGTACATGCCAGCTATACGAAACCGTCAGGATACCTCCCATTCTACCAGGGTTGCAAAAGTAGGTCAGGTTCGTTCGGCGCGTTAGCGCCGATCGAAAAATGTTAGGGTAGTATGCGTCATTTCGGCACTTTCTGGCACTAATTTTGAAGTGCTTTCCGAGTCATGTCGTGAACCTCATTTCCTTTACTCTAGAGTAGTTAGTGTTGTCTACTTCGATAATTGTTGCTAAGTTCGCTACTATCGTAGGTAGGCACCGGTCGGTACGTGTCGGCATATTCGACCCAAAAGCCCTACCAGCTGACAGCTGACATTTCAATGTGAAAAAACATAGAAACGCGTAAGACCTTGAACCTAAACATTTTTATGTTTGTTTGCAGAAGCAAATTAGCACACTAAAACATTTTTAAAGCCAAGAGATAATTCCTACTTTTTTATTAATATTGACGCGAACGATGGAAAACCCCTGTTGTGCTATGCAACACCACGCTTCCTTCCCAAACTCGAGGCTACCGGCTACGGCTGCATGTGCACATTGCATGTGCACGCGCCACATATAATATCTATCCTCCAGGGCAGCAAGTAACCAGCAGTAGCAATCCAAGACACAAGACCCCAAGGCAGCGGTAGTCTGGTCTGTCTGTTACGGTCTGGTAGGGGTGATGGCTGCTGGATGGTGGAAATTTTGAATTTTTGCGGGGGCCCCTCAGTTTTTTTGAGCCGAAAGTACGGCAAGATTTCTGCTTTTCTTCGGCGGCCGGCAAAAGTTGCGTCGGCGGCTTTGCGCCGAATCGACGCTAGAACCTAAACTTTTTTCGGCGCAAGCGCCGTTTTTGAGCGATATTCGGCGCAGCGCCGAAGCGCCGACTACTTTTGCAACCCTGCACTCTACCCGTCCACAGAGGCCAAGAATGATTCGTGACATTGAATCCAGCTTCGTACGTAGCATCCACTAATCCGTCCAGCCAATCACCATCGCGTCGTCGCCCCCTGTGTTTTCCTCACCCAATCAGCCGCGAGCTGTTATCGTGTCCGGACCGTACGCGTTTCTCGTGTCCTCGGAGTTGGCGAGCCTGACCTTCGAGAATCTTCGATTCAGCATCAAGGACGGTGCGGACTTTTTCTTGAACCTCTCCTCGGACGAATACCAGGGAACCGTCGCCTTCGTCGGCACGAGCCCACAGGTACGAGGCTTCGACCCAGTAGCCTTGGCAGTTTTTTTTGTATTATGTAAACATGTTGGAGAAAGCATGCAATGGCGGAAGATAGGTTTCGGGATACGTAGGGTGTAGGGTATGCGGTAAAACATGTTGGACATAAGCGTGCGATCGGGGGGGTTGGGTTGGGGGTAGGGTCTGCGTACCCCCTCCCTGCTCCATATCCTCATCAAGTTGATAAGGCGGTCCTGCTGCGACGAGTTCGTTTTTTAGAACACCTTGCGCGTTGATTGGCCACCGGCGTCGTGTCGGCCACGGCGTTTTGTGCCGGCGAAAACGAAAGAAGTAAAATGACAACGGGGATGAGAACGGCTCGAGAAACAGTCCTTGTTAGCCACCGACGGGTAAGAAATCCAACGCTCCCCCTCTTTCGACGGCAGTGGTATTTATTGTCTTGAACGGATAGTCTGCCAGTGATTGCATGTAAAGTTTCTAATATATCGGTGAGATAAAAAAGAAAAATACATCATGCATAAACGACGGCGTTGCGTCAACGTTCGACAACATCAGATCACCCATCGGTAGCACCGAACAACCACCACGTGACATGAGAGGCATATCCGGCCTGTCTTCTCTGACGCAGCATGCTTGCTGCCTCCTCCTCGGCCTCGTGTGAGGCATTCTGAAGCCAACACACTTCGCCACAACCCTACCACGGACAAAACGCGTTCACACCCCGACAATCCAAACCAACACCCGAACAGCAATCGCACGGAGGAACTTTCAAGATCGAGCTCGGGGCGAGCTTGACCTTCGGGGCCCCGGTTATCTTCATGGGGAGCTCCGTGGTTGCGGGCAAGCGGGGAGGGGGTGAGCTTTTTTTCTTTCTTTTCCTTTTGGTTGTTGTCCTGAGCATTGAGGCGGGGTGATGGTTACTAACGATCTGGCTGGAACCCGTGATTTTTTATTTTTGGTTGTCACATGTTCGACGGTTTTGATATGGTGTATCTCCGCTGGATGGTGCTTTGCTGCTGATGCTTGGTACAACAGAGATCTTTGTCCTCAATCTTGTTCGTGTGGTCGGGGAGTGGAGCTGTTCCATGGTGAACAGTGATCTCGGTGATATTTATTTCATTTCCTACACGTCCGACGTTTTAGATATGACGTGTATCCACTGGATGGTGTTTGCTGCCGCTTGGTAGTGAGCTTGGTCTTCTACGTTGTTGGTGTGGTCATGGAGTAGAGCTGCTAAAAACACACGTTTGCTACACGTGCGACGTTTAGAGGTGGCGTGCATTTGTTGGCTCGTGTTTGCTGCTCCTGCTACTGTGGTGAGCTAGCTACCTTGCAGGATTTCGTCGTATCCCTCACTTTTGTCTTTTGTCTACGCTCCGCAGCGATCTACAACAACGGTTACCTTACGTTCGAGCACTCGGCGAAGTTCGCGAATTGCAGCGTGGTGAGCGAGGACGGCGAGGCGCCAACAACCCCAACCCTCAAGCCCGGTATCAGTTTGGACGACGCTTCCGGGCTCCCAGGCACTGCTGCAGCTTTCGCCGATGCCGCGGTCTCGACGAACGTCGAGCCGGCGCATCCGGTACCTCACTGGGGCTGTGGAGGTGCGCGTGTACATCATCGGCGATTGTGTACTCGTTGTTGTTGTTGTTGTTGTTGTTGTTGTTGTTGTTGTTGTGGTATTCGCGTTCATTAGCGTTCCGATATCTGCTCAGTGCACCCGCTCACATCTGCACTGGTTGAACACTGGTTGTTGTTGTCAATGTTAACATTTATATGTTGATGAAACTCCAACTTTCATTTCTTTTCCATCCAATATTGTGGTACAGCAGACGAAGGGGGCAGCGAACAATAGTCGTCACTCAGGCGAAGACATCTCCAACTATAATTCGTTCATTCATTTTCGGGCGCCTCTTCGCTCTATTTTCCTTGTGATCTTTTGCAAGTTTATGCCTGCATTATGTCCTGGGTGAACTTATTCGTTGCAGTCCGGCATGCTAGACGACCAAAAGCTGATAGCTTCGAGATAGTGACAGATTGCACCTTAGGCTGTGTAGGGGCATCTATCCATGCACTCGGTTGTTGTAGATCACTGGACAGTGGCAACTTTAGTTCTCCCGTTTTTTTGCTCAGTGGACTGCGAGCGGTGAAACCTCTTGCTGTCCCGCTTGTTGTCAGCTCACTGGACAGCAGTGACACCTCTCGATTCACCTTCTTCTGGTTGCAAGCGTACCGGACAGCAGTGACACCTCTCGTTCTCCCGCTTGTTGTCACCTCACCGGACAGCAGTGAGAGTGAAAGTTCTTGTTCACCCGTCTATTGTCTCTTGTCGTCAGCTTAGCGGACAGCAGTGATGCCTCTCGTTCTCCCGCTTGTTGTGAGCTCGCTGGACGGCAGTGAAAGTGGAAGCTCTTGTCCACCCGTCTCTTGTCGTCAGCGCACCGGACAGCAGTGATGCCTCTTGTTCACCCGTTTGTTGTCAGCTCGCTGCACGGTAGTGACACCTCTCGATTCACCCTTTTCGTGTCATCTCATTGCTGCTTCTGCTACCGCTATACATTGGACCGACAGGGGCCTTGTACAACGGGGAGAGCGCGCAGGCGTCCTTCCAAGACGTGACTTGGTTCAACGACAACATCGCCGGGGTAGGCAGTGCCGGGGGCGCAGGTATGTATCAAATGCACCAAATTTCGCTCACAACTGTTTCGCTCACAACTGTTGGTGATAAGAAGGCGTCTGTTGTTGTGTTTTTTTCCGTTCCCTAACTTTTTTTTATGTTTTGCGCTAAAAAAGTTCACCAATAGGCGCTTGTGTCGTGTTTTCCCCCGTCTCCTTCCTCTTCTCCGTATATGTCTCACAACATGGTTATTTGGGTAAAGGGGCGCTTTTGCTTCACATTCTCTTACTTTTTACCATGGGGAACGCGTCCATGCTCGGTACACACCCCGCCTGGCACTCCACACCTTGCCGGAAGAACCCTTAATAACAACAACACGACGACGAACAATCCCGTGCACAATGGTGAACCACGACTCCCCTCTCGATCGGTCCTGTGTCCTGTGGGAACAATGCTCCGTCCTCTCGAGGACGCGTGGTCAGTGGTCCATTTGACAGCTAAGGCATGCAGTACATGAGAGTAAGAGTTACGCTCTCTCTCGCCTGCCGTCCTCTCGAGGACGCGTGGATACTGGTCTACCCGCTAACGCATGCAAAACATGAGTACCCCCCCCCCCCCCCCCCCCCCTCCCCCCAACTGTTGTGGTGTCCTTGGGCGTTTTTAAGGAAAGGGGGGGTTTCTTTTCTAACCCAAAGTACTTTACCCGGAAAACTGTACCCCGGGAGCGTGGGGCGGGAATGTGGCTATTGGTTTTTGCTGC